AAAAAAAAATATATAAAAAATAAAAAATAACATCATCTGATGTTAAAGTTCATTGAATAACTTTCAGATAATGTTTTATTTCAAATTGACACTTTTGAAACGAAATGTCGAATCATTTGGATTTCCATATTCATTTGAGTTATAAACGATGTAAATGTAAATGCTGTTTACATATGTTTGTACATAGTGTGAACAAATTGGAAATCTAAATGCTAGCTTTGAAAAATTCATAGGACCATTGATGGAATTTGATAGACGAAAAATTATAAGGTACAAAAATAATTTGATACCCAGTTTAAAGATTTTGAAATATTAGAAAATGACTTGCTCGTTTTCAATGATTCAAAAAAGATGCATAATTAATCAAGAAGACTTTTCATACAGATTTGTTGAACTATGCAATTTTCAAACGAATTCACTCTTACTCAATAGAAATGAGTGACGTCTAAAAATTTTTGAAATCACTCTCTTTAGAAAATTATTCGAATTTACTAGATTTGAGTTTACGATAATGCTTCATGATTGGATCAACGTATAAATATGAAAATATGTTTTCTATAGTGAAAAAATGAAATCATAAAGTCCGATCAACATACGCTTTATTCGCCAAGATTTCGCGGCCACAATAGGAACTAATTTTTATGATTCTGACTTCCAACATGTTGACGTTATTCTAGAAAATAATAGTAGAAAATATCAAATAAAATATTATTTTAATATTTAATGCCCAAGCCTATATGCAAAATACCACGCAAATGGATCAAGTGTTAGAACTCTAACCTTTTGCGGCGACTTTCAGTCGCATCTTTGCTTTTGTCGAAACAAGTCAGGAAGATACGAAACGACCAATTATTGCGATAAATTGAAAATACATCTTATAAATTACAGAAAACAAATACAGAGCCTGATATCACAAAATTATAATGTTGAAAATATTAAAATGTTTTTATACACTGATTTGTGTGTAAAATCATTTTGCTACTTCGTCCAACCGAAAAATCTTTTAATAGGAAAAAAAAAAACATATCATTCAATAAAATTAAATACATGATTTTTCGATCCAGTTGTGTGAAGCATTCTGTATTGTATTAATCCGTTCGATAATAAATTATGACAAACACTTAGGGACAAGCTAATACGAGTTTGGAGCACTGAGATCGAAGAGGAAGCGAATGCTGAAACTAGCATGAAGTTTCAAGAGAAACCTTACAGCCCGTTGGATGGTCATAAATATAGCATAAATCACGTGGAATTTAGTCCCTGTGGTCGTATGCTTGCCTCTTGCTCCTTAGACGGAAGTGTTATCATTTGGGATGTCGAGGTAATGTTATCGTACAGATTATGCAATGTGAAAAATTATCACCAAGCTACGGATTTTTATGCAAATTCATGTTTTCATAGTTTAAAAAAAAAAATGGAATATAAACATATATCCTTAATCGAACTCTTCAATATTCTAACATTCTTGAATCAAACTGCGATTTAACAACTTCGATACGAAACAAAATTGTTATTATTATAATTGATATCTTTTAAGTTGATAATTTTTACTTTAAATACTTTTTTTATATTACTATTTAATAAGTATTGTTTACATGGTTTCAGTCACTGAATTCTGAATGATTGTTATTGAAATTAACCGAATTATATTCAACATACGATTCTTATAAATGCATAAACATCCGCAGTCTACTTATCATTGATCTAATAATTGATTGATCTGATTGATCTTGATATATGGTATATATTAACGAAATATTTCCAAGTAATCATACATTAAATTCTAAGATATATAAAAAAGTTTTCGGAGTCAAATTATTCAGGTTTGCTTTTGACTCTGACTCAAATTTCGATACATTATGTTGCACATATCGCAGAATTGTTATTTCATCAGCAACATGAGTAATAGCATTTTTTTATACTATATTATATTATAAAAATTTTGCCGAGTAATATACTATAGAATATACTATACTAAACCTCTAAATATGAATTATGATCTTTTATTTATTTATTACTTGATGTAATCCAAAAATGTTTTTATACATACATGTATCTTGGAAATATCTTTTTTGTAAACTAAAATCAGACAGATGTAAAAGGCCAATTTTATGTTATTTTACATTATTTGCCCTCGAGATAAAAAGGATAGATAAAAAAGAAACAAAATGTACAAATGAACGAGTTAGAATGGTAAATCTCTTTCGCAAGCCAAGTTCAGTACTATGGCCTATTAATTAATAAATCATGTATCTACACTTGGGGACTCTAAAGCTGAACAGCAGTTTCAATGTTTCATTGGTAACATACATCAAGATCAATGGAATCAGCCACTTTAACCATCAATTTAAAATGACGAAAGCACAATGCGCGGGCATTATGAAAAATTCACAATTTCCCTTCGATCCTTAACCTTTGTGTATAGTTAACCTTTTGTGTTACAACACACAGCAGATGAAACTCAGTCACTATATATTATCGATTCTCCGTTGTTAATTTCACGTAGAACGGTTCTCAAGCGAAATCTTCTTTCGTGAATTCGGGATCCGGTATCCGCGTTTGTCGATGGTCACCGGATGGTACTAAAATTGCAACAGCTGGAGATGATGAAAGGACGACATTGTGGGATGTGAATAATATGGAAGAACTTTGGTACATGTTTTATATATATATATATATATAATCAATCGGAATGAACTCGGATTTATATTTTTTCAACTTATAATTATAATTTTTTTAAATTTATATTTTTGGTCTGTTATTCTTTATATACATATAAATGTCGTACATGTAATATGTATGAGATTACAGGGTTGGCCTCCTTCAAACCATTCGACATTCATCTGAAACAATTTTCACAAAAAAGTTAGTATTTCATTATCCGAATTATTATTCATCAAGTGGTTCCATGTGCCTCACCCTGTATATGTATATGTATATACGTAAATGTTTATGTATGTAACATAATATACAATATGTAATATATATGTATATGTGTATATATATATATATATATATATATATATATATATGTATATACATTGTCTCAGACCATAATTTCACAATGTGAATCATAATTTTAGAACATGTTTCTATGTAGGATTTTAAATCTCCAACATTTAAAAATTTGAAGAGAAGATAGTTCTCTAAGATGGCATTTTAAATTTTAAAATTTGATGAGAATCAGAATTGAAATATCATAAAACAGAATAGTATTAACGTCAATTAAAATTAAATAATTCAAGAATCATTATACAATATTTTTATTGTATCATCAATGCACTGTTTTATGATATTAACTTCTATTCTTCAATTATTTCAATTATGCTTTATACTCATATTTCACTTGAATCATACAATTACAATGTAATATTCAATAATTCAGAAATCATTTAAAGAATTATTAAATACTATTCATAAATAATTGCTTGACTCAAACGAAGTTCAATTCCTTCGAACTAACAAAATATTTAAACTAATATCGAGTATCTTTTTATTTAAATAAAACATTTCTGTTTGGTAGCTTAAGATTTTTGTTAACAGCAGTATGTATATGCATATATATTATTCAAGTGTATTTGAAATATATCACAAAAACGTCATATATAATGTTTCCGCTTTACGCATGACTGTAAATTTTATTATAACAATATTCAATTATTTCGAACTTGTGTCGTAGCGTTTTCAGGGGTCATTCCGATGCGGTGAACGCGATCGCCTTCACGCATGACTCCTGTTACTTGATTACGGCATGTAACGAAGGCGCTTGGAGACTTTTCGACGTCAGTGATAACGAAAATTGCGGGTCGTTGATTGTTTGCGGCGAAGCTCACGACTTAGGCGTTCAAGGATGCGATTTTTGCCCGACGTCTAACTTCATAGCTAATGGTAGGCACGAATTAATATTAATACCTATTAAGGGCACACCGAATTTTAAGAAACCAC